TAAAAGATGAATTGGAGAAATACAATGATCTTTATAAAGAATATTTAGAAGAAGGGAAAAATAAAGATTCGGAAATTATAATTCAAATTAAAAAAGCTGAAAAATTTTCAGCAAATCAAGAATCAACCTATACAACAACTACAACAACCACAACTTCTTCGACTTTTGTTAATTATCAAACACATCCACAAGCAATTTATACCAGTCGACTTCTTAATTATTCACATCTTCCAAAACCCAAAAATGATGAAAATTTTGAAAGGAAACTTGAAGAATTAACTAAACCTATGTCTTTATTTCCTAGTAAGTATTATTATATTATTTTTATTATATTATTTTTGTTATATTATTTTTACAATAAATTATATTAATTTATTTCTATCTTATTTAGGCGATTCTGGAATAGTTGATTTGGAGATTATTTGACATTATCATTATTAGTTTTTTTTTTTTTTTTTATTTATAAAACTTAACACTAGGCATAGAGTATGAATTCTTCATCCCATTTGTACAAATTCAATTAGCTTAGTTGTAAATTTCGATTTTATAAAAATAGGAAAATAATAATAAAAAAAATATAAATTTATTACAAAATTGACTAAATGTTAACATTAATTATTATTATTATAACGTGTGACATGTACATACATCCTGTTAAATAAATAAATAAATATATATATATTAAAATCTTTAAAATATTGTTTCTGAGTTTTTTTAACAATTATTCGCAAAATAATAAAAACAAAGAAATAAAAAAAAAAAAAAATGAAAAACTAGGGCTATTATTTTTTATAGTAGTTATTCATCATTTGTTCCTTTAATAAAAGAAAAAAAAAAAACCGAAAAAAAAATTTCAACAAAATCGTATACGTAAAAGTAATGATAGCTAAATTATTGTTATTATTTATGAAGAATCATCTACAACAAAAAAAAATAATAATAAAACCAATAAAACTTGACAAATTTTTTTCCTAAAATATTTGTGTTAAATTGAATAATGTTTAAATATTTATTTGAATATTCAAAAAAAAATAATAAAAAAGAATCATAAATTTTTTAAAAAAAGTAAACGGAAATTTCAAGATTCATTCAAGGAGAAAAACTAATTATCACAAATTATAATAACAACAAAAATAAAAACAACAACAATAATAATAAAATAAATTAAAATAACATAACATAAATTCTATTATTGTTATTATTATTATTATTAAACGAAGACTTGCGAATGATGTTACTTCAATAGAACTTGTGATATGCACTGTCGCCTATTTTTAATTTAGTTGATAACAATACTGGTGATCCTCCCAAACTATTCTTATTAATCCCACTACCATTATTTGAGGTTGAAGAGGAAGCTGAATGATTTCTATTTTCGTGCAGGTGAAAAGGCGTTCTACTTGGAGCACGGATGTTGATCCACTGCTGGGAGTTGATAATTGATGACCACTACCCGCTACAACTTTTTCGAGAAATATTAAAGGTGATACAGGTTGACTTATTAAAATTGATATTAGATACGCGACTGTTCACATGCATTTTTCTCCTTTACAATAGTCGGAATAAACTTTGAAAGAGGCGACGTGGCAGATACCTTTTTTTTCGAATTCGATCATTTTCCGTGAATGATGAATGAGGAATATGTGAATGTGGGAATGATGGATGATGGATGCATATTGGATGTGAATATATATTAATGGAAGGAAGGACGAATATAAATAAATGTGATATGTAAATAAATCAATCAATAAATAAATCATAATTTACATCCATCGATAAATCTTAACATATTTAGCATATAATTCTTGTAGATGAGATATTCTTGTGAAAGTAATAATATACTTCGTCAACAGATCCAACTATGATGATGATTATTATTATTATTAGATGGGTTCTTACACAAATCACAAATTAATATTAAATCAAAGAATGAAATATGGAAATATTTTACATTAACTTAATCAGTTAATTTATTTGATTATACTATCAATGAGATATAAACGTTATAAATTTCAAATTTCAAAATAATTTATGCGAAAAAAAAAGCCATTCTCATGAATTTTTATCAAACATAAATTTGCGCACTTATTGTAAAACTTCGTTTTAAATTTATTCTATTTTCTTAATACTTATCTGAATTCCATCATTTAATGGGAATTCGTTTGGTAGTACATTTAAATTGATGATTTATATTATATATCAACAAATATTATTATTTATTTGACAAAAAAATTACATGATTTTCGTTCAAAGCAAGAATATATGACGGAATATATACATATTGAGTTTCACAAAATGAAAATTTGAGTTTGCATACAAAGTGACGATTATTGAATAAACTTTAATTGGTTTTTCTTTTTTTTCTTCCTCTAGAACTTTTTCTTTTACCCAAACTTGTATTATTATTAAGATCAGTACGGATTTTTTTGGTAGCAGGATTTATAGAATTGATGGAACTTGAAATAGCAGGGATTGTAATACGGAGAGAATTTCTTGAAGTAATATTGATACGGACTTTGTTGGATGTAGCAGAAGTTTTAGCGACGGAATTTGTAGCAGCACCGTTAGTTTGAGTAGAATCTGTAGCAGCAACAGCACGGACAAAATTTGTTGCAAAACTATTGGATGGACTTCCGGCACGGGAGATCGTTGGTGAACAAGTAATAATTACTTTTGGCTTCAAAATCTTATTGATCATAGTCCTTACAGGATCTAACATCTGAAATAAACAGATAACGTAGATATAACATTATTATTATACATATGTTATAGATTATATACACAAAAAAAAAAAAAGTTTAACAAACCTCTTGAGCTGCCTTAAGTGAATTATCATCTTTACAAAACTTGTGGATATTGTTGATATCATCTAATACAAGTTTTAACTCACCCTTAAGTTCGTTTTTCCTTTTAGTTTTAAATTTGGTTGGTAAATTAAAAGTTGCCTGATAATTGTTCATAAACTCGGTGCAAGAAGCGTGAATTTCTTCTAATTTTTCAAGAACAGTTGGATCCATGTTTTATGTGGAAAGAAAAATGAATATAGATATTAAACGTTAAAAACGAAAAGGTAACAGATACAGATAATATTAAGTGTGAAATTTACTTCGGAATGGAAATTTTTTTTTTTGTAGTTTAGGCGATGATGTAATGATTATGTAATGGTGTAAATCTTACACGTGGAAAATATCTAATTAATAATTAAAAGTATTGATAATAAATATATGTTCATGTTAATCTAACTGGTAAAAAATACGATCTAACTTTCGTGCAACCGTTAATCGGAGAAACATGAGCTTTGTATTATTTATGAAATATCACGTTAGCGAAACTTGTTTTTTGACAATTTCAATTCTATCAATTTCTTTAATTTCGAATTTATGACTATATTTATTTTTATTATTTCGAATTTATAAATATATTTATTATTATCATTTCTTTAATAATTTAACATTTTACATTTTTTTTTATATAAATATAAAAAAATCAAAAATAGATCAACTGTACAAAAATTTGAATTCAATTATTTTTTCCCAACTTCAAATTATGATCGATGGTAAATATAACATATACAATGGTATTTAAAATTCGAGAACTAATTTCTTATTGATGTAATTCTTTAGACGAACGATCAAAGTGATGTGTTTTGATGATATGTCTCTAATCATCTATACGTATTTCCGAACCGAAAATCATTCATTCATTCATTCATTCATATTTGGTAGAAATTTTTTTGATGGTCACACGATTTTTTTTTTTTTTTATAAATCTGGTTTCTGATCGAAATTTTTTTTTTCCTATTACACCTTCTCTATAAACTGGAATTATAGCCTGACTTTAATTCAACGTTACGCTTTACAAATCTAATTTAATTAAAAAAAAGATATTATCATTATTTAATCATAATAAGATCTACGGTGATTACGTTTTTTTTGAAGAGAAGGTGGTGGTCTAAATTTGTGATTGTCGCTCGGTGGGAAATTTTAGATATTGTACTACATCACATCACAAATCTATAGTATTAAAAAATTAGTGTTAAAAAATGAATTGCTTAAAATCATTTATAACTTTTCCATATTATTATTTCTTTGGTAAACCCGACCAAATTCAACAAGAACGACCTGAACAACTAGAACAACAACAACGAGAAATTCCTAATAAACGATTAAAAATAGAAAATTCTCTTTTGAAATCTGAACAAAATTTTGGAGAAGAATTTAAACCTATTCTTCCTAAAGATTCACTTAATAATAAACGAAAATTAATACAATTAGAAGATAAACTTAAAGAGTTCTCACCTGAGACAGAAAGAATTGATAGAATTGATAGAATTGGTAAAGTAACTTCACTATCAACATTATCAACATTACCAACGATAACAACACATTCAGATGAATCAAAATTCGATTCTCCAAATAATAACTTTACACCGAAGAAAGTAAAGTTTTCACAAACCAATATGATTCTTACAATTCATTCAGAACTTGATTGTACATCTCAAAGAATGGTTTCAAATATGATTCTTTCAACTCACCCAGAATTAAATTCCACAGAACATGAACATTATGATCAAAATAATCATTCAATTCCTTCTTCTTATACCTACAAACTAGAACATAACGACGGAAACCAGAATAAGAAGAGAAGTAATAATTATGATGATGATGATGATAAGAATAGTAATAATATGAATAGTAATAATAAATTTATTACAAATTATGCGCATATTCTTGATAAACGATATTTGAAATATATTGGTCGAATGAGTAAAAAATTCAACCCACCTAAATTTCTTGATATAAAATATCGAGATCATTTTACCAATAAATTTATTGTTGAAAATATTTTAGGGGAAGGGGAATTTTCCACAGCATATAAGGTTAAAGAAATAAAAACCAAAATTTCATATGCAGTTAAGAAAAGGAAAACTCCTTTTAAATCTCATATCGAAAGAATTGAAAATTTGGAAGAAGTGGAAATTATGTGGAAATTAGAAAATCATCCTAATTGTATTCAATTATTTTCTGCTTGGGAACAACAAGGTTATCTTTATTTACAAACGGAATTATGTGAAAATGGAACTCTGGAAGATTTTTTGAAACAAAATAATAATAATAACAATAATAATGATGATAATGATAATAATGATAACAACAACAATTATTTTAATTCTATTGGTAATAATTATAAAAGTAATAATAATAAATTAAATGAACAAAAGATTTGGAGAATATTTTCAAATATTGTATTTGGTCTTGAATACATTCATAAATGCAACATTATGCATTTGGATTTAAAACCAGGAAATATATTTCGATCATCATCTTTAATTAATAATTCAAATAATAATAATGAATTATTTAAAATTGGAGATTTTGGATTTTCAACAAGTTGGCCACCAAAACCTAATCTTAACAAGGAAGGTGATTATCGATATATTTCATATGAAGCATTAAATAATAATCAATATGACAAATCAGTTGACATTTATAGTCTTGGAGTGATATTAATTGAAATGATTATGGAAAATATTTCAATGAATGATAAATTAGCATATAATATTAAATTAGGGAATTTATCTCAACTTCGATTTAGTTACAAATCACGTGAAATCATTTTGTTGTCAAAGTCAATGGTAAAATTTAATCCCAATGAACGACCAAATATTCAAAAAGTTGTGAACATAGTTAAAGAAAAAAAATTATGTGATTAAAAAATCAAATCAATTCAATTCTTTTATATCATCCATTTTTCAATTGTTTTACTTCTTCTATTTCTTCTATTTCTTCCATTTTCTTCCATTTTCTTCCATTTCCTTAGTTTGCTTAATAAAGAAATTATATTAGTTATTTCAAATTTATTTTTGTTATTGTTACTAAAAGCAAAAAAAAAAAAAAGAGTTGATTAATTTTATATATATTCAATAAGGAAAATCATAAAGAAATAGAAATTGTAAATAAATAAAAAAAAAAAAAAAAACAAAAAAAAATAATAAGAAAGGATATTACTAACCGAAAAAGTAACTAAAATAAAAAACAAAAAATGGTTTGCATATATTGATGCAAGAAATGATTTTAAAGAATATATAAATATATATATAAATGAATATACCGTATGCAAACAAAGAATCATAAGATGACCACTGTACTTTCTCTCTGGAAATAATATCCCTTTTTTTGTTTTTCTTTTTTTCTTTGTTGCAAAACATGACAAGCTTACATTTTTCTTTTTTTTTAAAAAAAAAAAAATAATAATAATAATAATAAAGACAACAACAGAAAAACAAACAATAAAACAACAATAATAATAAAATAAAATAAAATAAAAATTAGAACGGAAAATGGATGAGTAGAACAATAACTTCTTATTGATACAATAAATTATTTACATTACGGTTATGGTGCCCCAGGTTAATTACATCATTTAACATTACGGCAATATTACGGTTGCATTTCTTATCTGTTATATTACATATTACTCACAGATGCTTATATCTTATTGTTTACTTAAAATTTTCGGTCCCCTTTATTATTATTATTTTTTTATTCGAAGAAAGGAATAATTAAGGTTTCTTGATTTTTTTCCTTTAAAAAAAAAAAATCAATCTTCTTTTTCATGTGCGAAACTTTTTTTTTACCATTTTTTATTTAGGTTCGAAACATTACTAACTGTATTTGCCTTTTCGTACAGTAATATATATACGGCGTATGGATATCAATTATTAATTTTTTTTTCTTTAATAATCTTCTTTTAATAATAAAATAAATAAAAAAAAATAATAATAATTTTTGTTGTAAAAAAATAGGATGATATAATGAAACTTACTAAACAATAAAAATTATCATTGTCAAGATGTAACACGAGTTTTCTAGTTTTAGAAGTTTTAGTTTTAGTGTAAAGTTTATTTCTTTTTTTAGTTTATTTATTATGCAGATGTAACAGTTCTCAGTTCGCCAAAAATGCAAGAGAATCATAATACTAATAAAATTCAAAATAATAATAATCATAAATAATAATAATAATAATAATAATCATAAAATTCCAGTTTGATGTGATACAGTTATTTAAATTAAAGGATCTTGCCGAATGATATAAATTATGTAATCTTCTACTGAATCCAAATTATTACTGAATTCGATTAAAGTATTTTTTTTTTTTTTTTATTAGGTAATTGTATAAACTTTGATCTGATAAATATTTTTGATTGATATATTTGATAGTATATTTTAGATGATATGATAGTAAATTACCTGATCCTTATCATTCACTATATCATTGACTATAAAATACTTAGTCTACTTTTAACTTTCAACTTATTAACTTTATTAACTTTAACCAACTTTATATTTAACAACTTTTTTTATTATTAACTTTATTAACCTTTTTTTTTGACTCGTTTAACTCGACCGACTCTGACTAACTCTAACCTTTTTTGCTTATATAAAAAAAAACCTTACATAATTATTAATTAAATATTTTTCTTAGAAATGAAATGGAAAAGAATTCTTATTAAAAAAAATACACCGCACCGTATTGAAAAAGACAAATTTAAAAGTAAATTTGGAATAAAACTAAACTGAATGGATAACTGATATAATTTTAGGGAAATAAACATGTATAGAAAAGAATGTATAATTTTTTTTTTAGAAAAGTCCAATAGGGATGAAATAATATATTCGTAATGATTGTAATTTATTCGTAATTTATTCGTAATAATACTTCGTGTATGTAAAAATTTCTTTTTTTTGATTTTTTTTTTTTTTTAAAAAAAAAAGGAAAAAAATATTTACAAAATAAAAATCATTATTAACAAAAACAATAATAATTTAATATTTATATATTATATATATATATATAAATAAATATATACAGAAAAATTATAACACCAGGATAATTTTTTGGGTTGTTATAATTCTTGGATTAATAAGTTGGATTATAATAAGTTGAATTTATAAGTTATATTATAAAGTCAAGTTATTAAGAACTTTCTTTACTTTGGGTTCGTTGGCGGGTTTCGACACATATCCATTCTATTTATTATTATAATTATTATAATTATTATAATTATTATTATTATTATTTAATTATCATCATTATAATCATTATCATCATTATTATTATTAATTACATTTTGATGATGATTTTAAATATTTGAATATTTTGTAAAGATGATAAAATATCAAACATTTACTATAATATTAAAATATTATTAATAAATCATATCAATATATAAAATAATAATAATAATAATAATAATAATAATAAATCAACATATTAATAATTAATATGAAAAAAAATAAAAAATATTTACCATTCCAGCTTTCGAAAATTTATCATCCCACTTATTAGTAGTATAAGCAAGAATTGGAATTTTCCTATTTTTCTCGAGAGCAATATTTGATTCTCTTATTTTGATTGAAGTATCTATTCCCGATAGTTCCGGCATATCAATATCCATAAATATTAAATCAAATGTTGATATGGATAATTGTTTTAAAGCTTCTTGACCACTTAAAACACATGTCACTTCATGTTTAAATTTTTGTTGTAATAATCTGGAAAGTAATCTTCCTGTTATTATATTATCATCTACCACTAGAGATTTGATATGTGATGATTTTCTTTCTTTGCTTAATTTTGCGGAAGGAGAATATAAATTAATAGATGATGAATTAGAAGGTGATGATGATGATGATGATGGAAGTGGGGAAGGCGAAGAAGATATTGAAGAATCTGATGATGAACTTGAAGATTTCGATGATGTCGAAGATGTTGAAGATGTCGATGATGGTGGTAATGTCAACAGAGAAAGAGAAAGTGATGTTGAAGTAGAAGAAGAAGATGATGATGATGATGATGATGATGATGATGATAATAAATAATTATAATTATAATTACAATTATAATTATAATTATAATTTTGATTAATATTAGTATTATTATAATTATTATTATAATTATTATTGTTATTGCTATTGCTTAATGCAATAGCTTTATTCATCGTTAATCGAGGGTAGAAACAATAATGATGGTTCATAGATAATTATTATTTTTATAAAGAAATCTGAAATTATTATTTTTTTGTCGTTGTCCGTTGTGTAATTGTTTACTATCTTCGTCGTCGTCGTTGTTGTCGTTATAATTAATTTTAAAAAAATTATTTAAAATTATTATCGTAATTATTCAAATTATTTTAAAATTATTCTATTTTTATAATTATTAAAAATTATTTATTATTTATTGCGAAATTATTATTGTTGAAATTATTATTGTTGAAATTATTATTGTTGTAAATAATTGCTGACAATCTGTATTATATAAGTTGATGTATAATATATCGTTAATAATATACTTGATTTCAAAAATTTATTTTCGAGAAACAAAAAAAAATGCATATATATATATAAAAATCTCGTTTTTCTGACAGTGATGATGATGATGATATATTTATAACGATAAATTATTATGATATTATAATAATATATTATAATAATATATTATAATAATATATTATAATAATGTCGATTGTTTTTTTTTAAAAAAAAAAAAAAAGAAAAAAAAAGAAAAAGAAAAAAAGAAAGGAAAAATTTTTCTCATTTCATCCCTTGAAAGAAGAAAAAGCATATCTAAGTTTAAGGGTCTTTTATATTTTATTAGTGATTGTTGATCTATTTACAAATTTAATTTTAATGAATATAATAAAAAAATACCTTTGATATAATTTAATCATAAATATATATTAATGTCATCGCATATTATTTAAAAAGAAAATAAAGATACCTTAATTTTGGTACTTCTTTATATTATATAATCCATTATAATTATTCTATTCTATTCTAATATAGTATATTTTATAGTCATTTCTATCATAATATAATAATTTATTATTTATTATGTTATGTTATAGTCTACCATAATATAACTTTTTTTATCAGTTATTATATTTCATTCCATTCGATTCACTTTACATTAATAATAATATTATAAAAACTTATTAAACTCATTAAACTTATTAAACTTATTAAACTTATTAATACTCATTATTTCAACTACTCCTTCAACTCCTTCGTTTCCTTCGCTCCCTCAACTTTATTCCCTCATAAACTATAATTCAAATTAACTCAGCATTAACTTTAAACTGTTCACAATTCATAAATTGTCTACATATTTATTCATTCATACATTCAGTCATACACTCACATTCATTCATAACTTTCATAACTCCCCAATTTTTCCATCATTTTTTTTTCATATATGGTTTATTAATCAAAATTTTTTATATTAATCAATTAACCAAAAATTTTTTATTGTAACGTTCATCATCACCATATAAATAAAATTTTTAATATACTTTTTACATTTTGTATATAAATAATAATTATACATATAATTATAATACATATAATACATATTAGACACACAAATATTAAATAATCATGTACTTTTTATCTAAATCTATATTGTATGCAATTCTTCTGTTAAATAAAGCAGGTAAATGTGGTGTGTAATACTTTTTATAGTATAATAAAATTGACACAACAGAATATAAAAATATATTTATAAAAAAATAATATCTGTATTCTCGTACTCTTTATTTATTTTTATTTTATTTTTATTTTCTTTTCTTTATTTCTTTTCTTTATTTCTTTTCTTATTTCTTTATACAAATTAAAATAAAATGGTTATTGATAGTAGAATCATTACAATTAACAAATTAATCATCAAAATTTAATCATTCTTTATTATTAAACATGGGAACAGAATATCGGCAGAGTATCTGCATAATATCCCTTTTTGATTTAATGTTTTTTTTTTTTTTTGATTATAAGAAAAGATAAAGGAAAAAAATATAAAAATAAAATTAAGATAAATAAAAATAAAATAAAATAAGAAAAAATAAAAATGAAACAAATAAGATAAATGAAATAAAATAAAAAATAAATAAAATAAATAAAATAAATAAGATGAATGAGATGAATGAGATAAGAAACAAATAAATATATAAAATATATAAAATAAATAATAAATAATAATAATAATAATAAATAATAAATAAAATATAATAAATAATAAATATAAAAGCATACACGTACGGATTAATCATAAAGGGCGTTCGGATTTTTTTTTTTTGATTTCACAATTTAATAAAACGTGAATATTTTGAATGTGTATGAGATAATGTGATCATATTATAAATAATATAAAATAATATAAAATAATTTAAATAATTTAAATAATATAAAATAAATGTAAAATAATATAAATAGTATAAATAATATTTTCGTAGATATTGTTATTGTTATTATTATTATAAATTTAGTTTAATTATTAAATTAAATCAACGACAACGCGTTTGAAACTTAAAAAAGTATTGGATGATTACAATCACAATAATAATTAATATAATAATAAATTAATTAAAAAAAATTCGAAACTCAATAAATTCGTTCCTTCGATAATTCGGTCTCATGATTTTTCTATTAAAAATTATGATGACATTTTTCTCTCTGTTATTGTGCTAATAGCTCGTAAATATTCGTTTTTAAACCCCCCTCAAAAGATTTTCTACGTATTTCATATGAAGATTTACTGTCAAGTGATTAAAAAGTGATAATGTGATTAAATGTCAAAGGGGGGGCTGATAGAATGAAACATGTGTGAAAACATTTGTGGCAAAGTAAATTATTTTATCTTACACACCCTCACGTCATGCGCCACGAATACGCACGTGAATATATAATATAGTTATAGTCTATAGTCTGGGGAAAATTAAAAAAAAAAAAGTTAAATTAAATATTACTATATTATTGCACATTGGCATTTTAGGATAATGATAATGCAATTTTTTTTAAGTTATAGTTACGTAATGTACGAATATATTGAATATTGGAATAAATTTGTATGCTGAACTAAATAAATTAACTCACAAATGGTATCATCAAAAATGGTATCATCAAAAAAAAAAAAATCCAAAAATCATTTTCAGGATAATAATAAATAAATTATAAGTAATTTTGTGAGAATCGATACTTTGAAGATGCAGAATTTTGATGCAAAAATATTTGAGATATGCGAATTGCATTACATTATTATTATTATTATTATTATGTTTATTGTGCCTGCGCTAACAATTAAACACAACACAAATAAATAAAAAACATAAATAAGACGTTAATTATAATGATAAGGTGATAATGTAACGCATTTTCTGCCTTATTCGGTTCTGTTTTGCTTTATTCACTTTTACTTATCGAGTTTAGTGATATTTATAATAAAATTCATAGTAAAAAAAAAAATCAATGTATGGTGAATTCATCACCTTTTTTATTATTATTATTTTTTATTTTTTTTTATTTTTTTTTTTTTTTGATTATTATTAATTTTGATTATTGAATACTTCCAAAAAAGTTAGTATAATGTACATTATCTTTATGATTAATTCAGGATTAATCAGGATTTATGAAATTTCACAAAATATATTTATTAGTTCTTTGTCGCAATGACGTAAACATCGTTCACTAGAAAAATATGCAAAATATACACTAAATTTCGTCATTTGGTACAGTACATTTAGTTGTACGTGATAATAAATAATAAATAATAAATAATAAATAATAAATAATAAATAATAATGATAAAAACACTTGACACTCCAAATTATATTAATTTATATAAATTCATATTAATTTATCCGTCATCTTAAATATCAAGACAAGTCAAACATAATATAATATACTAACTAGTCATAGGCAAGTCAATTCTATATTCATATACGAATCAATGTTTACTGGAATCAATAATAATCAATAATCATATGAGTCAATGCTAGCCTATTTATTCGTTTACTTTACTCAATCCTATTTAAAGTTTAAAAGCATATACATTTAAAAAATGAATGACCGTTAACCAGATCTAAGAATTAAATCAAAAAAATAAATAAATAAATTTGTTTGTTACCAGTTTTAGAAATGAACTAATACTTATAAAAATAATATAAAAATAATAAAAATAATAATAAAAATAAGAAAAAAAGTAAATAAATAAATAAATAAATAAATAAATAATAATAATAATAATAATAATAATAATAATAATAATAATAATAATAATACATTTGTAATAACCATAAATACTAAACATAAATAAAAATGACAATTCGGATGACTATTAATTTCTGGAATTATTAGATTCACGCTTCATTATTACCATCATGATTATTATTATTATTATTATTATTATTATTATTATTATTACTTATTATTATTATTATTATTATTAAATTTATTATTATTATTATTATTATTACTTATTATTATTATTATTACTTATTAATTTGTTTATTTTGTAAATGTTCGCAAATGTTTATAATAATGAAAATAACAAATAATAATAATAATAAATGATAAATAAATTCATCATGTGTTCATTATACTTTAAAATCAGAAATATTGGTTTTGTTTGTTTGAACATCTAACATCTCATCTCTTGTAAGACTAATAAATAAAACTAATCTGTCAAATGTAGATGGAAAAAAGAAACTGGTTTAGGTAATTGAAATTAATTCAATTGAAAAATCAATCAATCAATTTAGTTTGTTTGAACATCTAAAATCTCATCTCTTGTAAGACTAATAAATAAAAACCGACTTATCAAATGTAGACGGGAAAAAAAATTGGTTTAGGTAATTGAAATTAATTCAATTGAAAATTGAAATGAAACCAATTTAATTGAGGTTAGTTGGGATTAGATTATTGTTATCATAATTATATCAAACTATATCAAAAAAGAATTGTCATCATTATATTATAAATGCCACAAAAAAGGATATTTATTTATTGGTCAATTTCTTGAAAGAAAATACTAATAATAGGAACGCGACCAATTTTTAGTATTAAAAAAAAAAAAACTCAACTCTTGCCTCTTTCGTAAGGTTTTTTTTGCCCATCGCCGAAAGGATAAAAATCATAAAAAATTATTTACAATTGTTAATTTTTCATTAACCAACGATAGACATTATTCACGTGAAACACGTGCTTAGAATATTTTAGGACATACATAGTAAATATTAAAGAAAAATTGCTTTTTTTTACAAATATTTTTTAATGTCATCTATAATTAATATCAGGGAATTAATTCTTTCATTCACCTTTTTTTTTTGATTCCACAATGGATTGATATTATAATATTTAAGAATATTCAAATAATAATAGTTTTAACGTCATTTACATATGTCATTTATTGATGTCTATAATTAAATATCCCTTGGAATTCTTTTCATTCACCTTTTTTTGATTACACAATGGATTAATATTATAATCTCTAAGAATATTTAGAATATTCTAAATTGATTGATGACAATGACGAAGAAGATTAATCTATATCTTCTATATCTAATGTGACCATATGTTTATTATATTTAGATCACATTTAGATTATATTTGATTTACATTTTTAAAAATTAATATTTAAATTATATTTGGATAGATTTGATTACATTCAGATTATATTCAGATTACATTCAGATTATATTCAGATTATATTCAGTTAATATTTAGATTACATCACTACATTTATGTTAATTCAAGGAGTTCAAAAATAAATTTGACATTCGAATGTCAATAACAACATAATGATTAAATGATGGACAAGAAAATAAAAATAAAATCTATATAAATGTTATATAAGTGTATCACATAAATTAATATTATCTGACATGTCGATTTTTCTTGAAATTAAACCCAGAATTTACAAGAATTCTTCAAAAATATGTACATTTTTTTTATTATAATATTAATATATATATATTATATATAATAAAAAAAATATGTATGGAAAATAGAGAATATTAATATAGAAAAATTATTGTATGACAAATGGAATGTTGCCCCTTGAGTAACTTTAACTTTATTTATTATTTTAAATTCGAAATAAATAATAATATTATTATTATTATTAATAAAATTTCTTGAACTTCTTTTACAATAATTAATAACATATTTATTTGTTTAAAGACAATATTTGAAAACATATATATTATATTTCGAACTTTTTTTGAATATAGGAGAAAAAGAAATTTATATCAAGTAACTTTATTTGACACTACTATAATCATTTATACACTGTATGATGTAATTCCATATTATTTTGTTCAAATTATCACCAGACCAGATATGATTTGCTGATATTACATTTGTAATCAAATTTCTATATTTGTCAATCTCTTCTCTTCTTTTTTTCAAAAGAAAAAACGGAGAGAAAAAAACATGAGTAAGATTGCAATACATACATAAGTTAATTGATATTCCACTAACGTATTTCGAATATTATAATAATATTATATCATCAATAATTCTAATAGTTTTGTTGTTGGATCATGAGTTATATCGAAAAATTGGTAACATATGTTGTAATAAAATTCCTAAAAATTTCATTTGATAAAAATACACGTGATTCATTAATTTACATATATCAAAAAAAATTTTATATTATTAGACAACCTTAACCAACAATTGAAAATTATCTATTATTGTTTTCATAAGAACAAAATCATTATAACAAGCTTTCAATTCTAATCTCATGCTTTTTTGGTAAATATTTTGGTCTGAAATTCGAAATTCTTATGCCATTTTGTTAATGTTATTATTACTATGTCAATCTTAATCACTTAATTGTATACATATTATTATCTGTTATTATTTGCATAATTAATAAATCCAATGACAATTATACTAAAAATTATAATAGATATATTTCACCAATTGGGTCTATTATAATTTTTTAATCTTTCAAGATGTACAACTTGATCACTCTATTGGCTCGGACCACGGACACCTAGTCGCAGACACTTTGCCAAATTCACAAATCATATAAAGTCAGGTGACAAAAAAGGTGCCATTTATTATTTTATTTTATTTGTTATTTTATAATTCATCAAAAATACTTCGAGGAATAGTACAATGCCTTTTGTATTTTTTTACTGAGCTCTTGATTTGTCCAAATGATTTCTAAATCGTTATCTGAAGAATCATTACTGAAAGAATTATTATTAAAAGAATCATCACTGGAAGAAATAAATTTTTCTTCTAAAAACGAGGTAATTTCAGTTTTTCTCTTATGCGAAATCTTCAATAAATGATTTTTTTTTGTTTTGAATGCCAACCCATTTTTATCATTTAAAAAAAATATTTAACTATAGTAACACATAATATTTTTTAGTCACGTTTATACTCTGAGTCTATTATTAAATTCTAAAAATCTCTTTATTATTTTAAAGCTCAGGTCCCAAAGCATTCAAAAAATGAAGAGATTTTTTTAAATATAGTTCATTTTATGGAAAAATAACAGTTGAAATCAAGTAAAAAAAAAGTGTGATCCAAACAAATAGTTTAATTGGGACAATTTTACTGCGCTTCGTTATCATTAATATTTGAAGTTAAATTTTTCGTTCGATTCATAAATTCGATTTCTTGTCTTCTTTTAGATTTGTATAAAATAAAAATTTCCTGAATTGATTATAACCAAATATTAAGCACGACACGTTTGAAATTATTTTATTTCTTTTTAAAATATTTATTAATTTAATTTACTCTTTAGAGCATCTTTGTAACCTATACAAAATAAATATCCAACTAAAATAATAATCATTAATAGAATAATAATTTGATATATATCCATAATTTCAAAAACAACTAAGTAATTTTCTTTTTGGCTTTGAAAACTTCATAATCAGCAATATCAAAAGCTCTCAGATATCTTTTTCATAATTACTATAATCATAATAAAATTTTGCATTATCTCCAATACAAAAACTGCCTCCAAAATTAGGACCACTTTTTGTTTGCATAATTATAAATCACATAATTAGGGTATTTTACTCGACCAAGAATTGAATTTTTGTATATTACCATTTTTCAATGTTTCGATATCTTTGAATTGCTATAAGAGAATTCGCTTCATTTGCACCACAGTAGAATTGAAAAATTAAACTCCACGCAATTTTAAATAATAATGTAATACTTATAAAATACAATCACTATACTTTCTGTAATTATCCCATTGTACTGATGAGTTGAAATGTGAATTTCGTTTAAAATTTAGGTAGATCGAAAAAAGGTAAAGAAATAAGAAAAAATTTTTTTTTCTGAACGTCGGTCAGAATATACATGAAAAGATTGAAAATTCCTAAGTAATTATTATTTTTGTTAAAAAATATTTATATTTAATTTGTAAACATGAAAAAAATAAAGAGGAGATTTCGTTAAAAAAATAATTAAATTATATTACCTTCATGTCTATGGGGGTTCAATGATTACTTTAGATCTCATTTAGCTTCAAATTTACCTCATTTGTATCCTCCAACACGTTTTAGACCACCTAAATTTTTTTAAATGAATCATATCATAATTTATCTCCTCCACAACCAGGGTTTCAGAAATTAGTATAGTACGATTGCGAATTTTAGTATAGTACGACCAGATTTTCAGTAGTACGATTGAAATTATCTTAGTATGTACGTTTAAATTATACATACTGTATATACTTTTATAAATAATAAAATATATAATAATAATGTTAAATAAAAATTTTATTATACTAACTTAATTATTTTTATTATTTATAAAAAAATAATAACTTTTTATTACATGCTTGGCTGCTATATTTATTTTATTAAACTTAAAGACTTTTTTTTTTCTCTAAATTAGCTAATTCTAGAGCTTCAGCTTTAATTATGGCTCCTCTAGTTGCTGCTTCTTGAGTAAGAATTTGAAGTTCACATTCTTTAAGTGCCATTTTTTTCTCTTCTAATTCAAAATCTACATTTTCATCATTTTTATCATTTTTATTTTTTTTTTGTTATTTTTATTTAAATTTTTTTGTATCACCTTTTCTTTTTAAATTTTCATTGGTAGTATTTATTATATCTTCTAAAACTTTATCATTTTTATTATTTCTTTTGTCTAAATTTAATTAATATAATTATTACTATTAATTTATATTAATATTTGATTATAAATATTTATTAATACCTTTTCATGTAATTGACTTGGAATTTTTTTTAATTTCTCCATTATCACGTCTTGAATAAGGAACACCAAATTTATTTTGTGTATCAATAATTTTTAATGCCTTTTGATCAATTTTGCATCCTCTAATAATATTATATATGAAAATAAATAATAATTAATAAAAATAAATGTTTAAAAAATAAAATACTATAATAATAATAATAATAACTTAATTATTGCTGTTAATAATTTAAGTTGTTTTCCTTCGTGATTTGCTAAAGAATATGTAGCCTCAACTACATTTGTATTGTTTTCACTACTTGTCCATACTTCAGAATCTATTTTTGAAGCATTTAGATTTAATGATGCAAGAATATAAGGTTGCCTATAATATTTAATCCAATCTATTTTTGAAAAATATTTTTATTAAAATTTATTTTTTTAAAATATTACACAATATAAGTAATTAATTTTACTTTTGATTTTTTTTTTCATCAAGTTTTTCTAATGTTAAAAATATATTTTCAAGTTTATCAAGAGATGATGTTTCAGAAACATTCAAAATTAAATTGATAATTTCTGAGAAAAATTTTTTAGCATAAATATTACTAATGTAAAATTAAAAATTATTATTAATAATGTTTTTAAAGAATGTTATATTTATAAAAATCTAAATTTTTACTGTTAAAAATGTACAATATGTGATTTAAAAATATATGTTAAATGAGTTTCCCAATCTAAACATAAGTTTCTACTTTGTAAAAAAAGATTTAAACCTTTTATTTGAACTATATCCAAATCTTCAATAATATATTCAATACTTTCTCCATCTATATATTCAAACTTTACAATTTTTTAATAATATTTTTAATTATATTAAAAATATCAAAAAATAATTGAAAATAACCTTCTGCAGATGCATAAGATAAAACTAATATAAAATATTAAATAAATAATTAATTAATTATTAAAAGATAAAAAATAAAAAAAAACAAGTAAATAAGTAATTATTTAATTAAAATAAAAAAATAAATGTATATTCACTTAATTTATGTATAGAATTATAGTGATTAATTTCAAATTCATTTATATCACCTTTAAGTATATAAACAAAAATAATTAATTCTTTAGAATAAATATCTAAATAATAATTAAATTAAATTGAAATATTAGTAGATATGAATAAATATTAAAATATTTAAAAATATAAATTTTAATTACTCGTTGTATACACATAGTTATGAAGTTTCAATTGTTTAATTAGTACACTATAAATAACATTCAATATACCTTGTTCAAAAAAATATATATTTTTATAAGTTTTTTTTAATCAAATAGTATAATCTATCAATGTCATTTAATGAAACATCATCAGTAATTATATTAATTCGAAAACCTTTGAAATTATATTGCAATGTTAGATTTCAAAAGTTATCGATTGTGTTGCAATCCTTCAAAATCAAAATTTAATAGTTAAATTTCAATATGTATTATTTTATTATCGAAAACCTTCAAAGTTCAATATTGAATTTTTTAACGATAACGTAAACTTTCAAAATTCAATAGCTAGTATTTTAACATATTTTGTTTCAGGTTTATCATTTTCAAATTACTTCGAATTTAATCGTTTTCATTGTAATTCAATATATATTGTGGAAAATTTCATTTCATAATATTTTATTACT